GTCCTGGGACCCTCACTGCCACTGTCCAAGCTTGCTCGGCCCCGGCAGATGAACCTCAGGATTAAAGGGTGGGCTCAGTTCAGCGCACGCTGGGTCTCACCTAAAAAATCCACTGCGCAGGCTCGAAGGGTTAATGACCTTTCCCAAATCTTCGCTCAGGAAGACTGGCCATACATACTATGCAGTGTCACAGAATATCTGCACTCAGTCAACTGTAGGAATATATCTCTCATCAGAATTATCTGAGATATCAGATAAGACACTGACAGAAAAGATTATCTTGGCTGAAGTGTGCAAATAAGTTCTTTAGAAATATCCAGAGATATCTCAGTGTTATCTGTGCAACACTTTATTGCTGCACTGAAGCAGTCTCAGAAGGAAGCGGGGTAGTTTACCAAAGGTAATTCTAGCCAAATAGACTGTTGTTTGCCATTTGCCTGGTTGAAGTATTTGTTGGTTTCTCAGGAAGTTAATATCTTTTGGCATTGTGCTGTTCCAGATCTCAAGCAACGTATATACTGTGTACCAAGTGCTTTCTTTAAAGGGTTAGATTGTGTGCAGACATTCAAGCAAGTTCGTTATCTTAAGTGTTGTCTTAGTTCTATCAGCTTTTGTATTATCCACTCAATTGCTGAATTGCTTATTTATTTATTGACTTGATTTTTAACAGACAAAATGATGCTTATATAGGGATTTGTAGACAAATTTTTGTAGTGTACAGAAATTACTCACAGACAAGCACTGTTGAAAGCCTCCTTTGTATCCATCCACTGCATTTTATACACACACATGCATGCCAGCAAATAAGACTGCACGTTATGCTATACCAGCCCACATATTTTCCATAAATTGTATATGAAAATTAATTTGACATCATCCAGGCATGACATCATTGTAAAAGACTCGAGGGATGAAGCAAGTGTGAAGAATATTTCTCTTTGCTTTTTCTGAATACAATAGCAGTGAGAGTGAGCAGATTGATGTTGTATTCCCTCCAGCTGTGATGAAATTGTGATCCTTTTTCTGTCCTTACCTACACACTGGAGAAATGAGAAACTGCACATCTTTTGCAACAGTTTCCTGTGATTTTTGGATGGATGCATTATCCTTTGTCCTGATTGCTGTCAGAAGGGAGGGTGATATCTGAAATTCAGGATGATATGCACACCAGCTATCATCCCTTACGCAGAGCAGCAACGGACTAGCATTGTGGCTGTGGAGAGCTGTGTGGTGGGGCTTTAGGGGGAACAAACCCTGGAAGAGCTGCCATGGGAGCTCAGAAACACTGCAGTGTTGTTTCTGTCCCTCATCCTGAAGCCTCCTTTTTACAACAGCCCACAGTGGGCTTTGTGTCCAGCTGCTCCCAGTCTTCTGGATGGGGGCTTGCTGCTAAATGCTGTGGGGGAGAGGGAGGGTTCTAACCCCTATGTGTGCTAGCTGAGACAGGTTCCTCACTAAGCTCCCCTCGACTTCTTAAAAAAAAAGAAACAAAAATTAAAAGAGCAGCTTGCTAGCAATTCACCAGAGGAGCCAACTTGGCTGCAGGCAGTCAGCCAGGACTGAAGTAAAAGCAGCCTGAGTATCCCTGGCAACAGCCCAGACTGCCTTCCTTAGTTTGGACTGCACTCCCCTAAAATATATGTGCATAGCTGTGGGTCTTTAAGGGCCAAAATCTGTGACTATGCAGTGAGTATGAAGTCAAGCTTAACATAACAATAGACTTCCAGCATTTTTCTGCTCAGGTTTCAGCAAGAGAGCTAAGTTCTCTTTCCTTTGCAACCAAAAACTGAGGTGAGGTCTTTGTGCTCCAATATTTGAAGCCTGTGTAGACTTTGAAAGCTGTCCTTACTCCAACAACAGCTGTTTTACATTTAATCCAGAAAAGCTGTGCAATTGCTGTCTTTGGATGCTGAGGAAACTTGCAACATGACTTCAGTACAGAATTACCTATTTTTCACATTGTCTATCCTCATAATTTTTCTGTCAATATCTACTTCAGTGAGATATCCTTAGGCTCAGTAAAGCAGGTAGGTACTGAGTGCTTTTATCTTCACTGTAAATGGAAATGGATGAAAACAAAAGCAAAGACCAATTTACAGTTGTGGCAACTGTGACATGCACCTCTTATCCCTCAGAAAAGGAAGGAATAATGTGAAATTGACAGAGAACTGTAGTCAAGAGCTGTAATGCGATATTTCATGAGGGGGAGGGATTTTGAGAAATCTTTTTAGACCTGCCAATTCTCCATCTTCTCCAAGGCTGTGCTTGGAATTTGTGGGAAGATTGGCAATTATTTGAAGCACTTTAAAAACAACGTAGCTTTAGCTGAAGTAGAACCAGAAGAGTTGATAGGCTTCCCCTTTTTCACATTCACAGTATTTTAGGACAACATTCTGGATCTCACAGCGTGTGGTGGGTGGGACTTTTTTTCTTAGTACAAAAATGTTGAACAGCAGTGCAATTTGATACAGAAAGTGATTTATTCCCCTGCTGATAACTGAGATCATCTAGCATTCCAGACAGGCACAGTTAATGGATGACTTATCCCTCACCCAGCAGCTGATTACAGGACCTCAGGAGACAGCAGGCAGCTTTGAGTGAAACAACACGGCATTTTATTTTCCTTTTAGTGTTATTGCAGCTATATTCAGCCCTGGAATGCTACAGCTGTATCAGTCTCGGCCCCCTGCAGAACTGGCATGCAGTGGGCAGCACTGAGCCACCACTGCTCTAATTCTTAGCACCATTATCCTCTTTTTCTGCAATCTGTGTAAACATCTGTGGGGCAGAGTAATGGGCAGACATTTTTTTGGTGCCTGTAGATAGGAGAAGATTCACCAAGTCTTTTATTATGACTTTTTCTTAAAATTCCTGCTAACCTGTGGGTTGACTTTAAAATCCTCCAGCCCTGAAGGAATGCCAGTATACTGAGGAGTACACCTTAAAATGAGCTGAAAGATGCTATCTCCTGGTATCTGCCAGTGGAGTTTTGCTCAGGTTGATTCCTGAAAGTATCCATTAAAATATCTGAGGTGATAACTGGCCATCAGCAGAGATAAATCGGGTCTAGGCTGATTCTTTTTTCTTAGCAGATGCTTCTTCCCAAAAAAGATGAAGACTCATTATCAGAGCAGCAGAAAGAAGCTTGGTTATTGCTAAGAAATCTTAAGAAGCTTTTTGCTCTTTTTTTTCTTAATTTAAAAAAAGGATTTTTCCAGAAGACACCATTTCAGAAAAAGCAATTCGGTTACACATCACTAAATATCTGGCTTTGCGGAGAAGTTGTCGCATGATTCGATTTTCTCATAGAGCTTAGAGAATTAATTTCTTTTCTGAATTTGTCACACCCTTCTGCATCTTCTGAACATTGCAACGTCCAGTCCATGCTACATGTGTCCTTTCTGTGAACTTTTAAGTAAGACTCAGTTGTGTTGGTAAAGTATCAGGAGAGTGTTTGATGTAAAAATTGAGATTTTGTTCCAAATATTGTTTTTTCTAATACCATTCTTTCTCTTTCCAGTACCACCAGCTCAACTGCAAGCAGCTGTGATACGGAATTTACAAAGGAGGATGAGCAGCGGCTGAAGGATTACATCCAGCAGTTGAAAAATGACAGGGCAGCAGTGAAACTGACAATGCTGGAGCTGGAAAGCATCCACATTGATCCCCTTAGTTATGACGTTAAGCCACGCGGAGACAGCCAGAGGCTAGACCTGGAAAATGCAGTCCTGATGCAGGAACTTATGGCAATGAAGGTATTTTATTTATAACCAGGAGGTTAAAAATTGCTGACAATGCCCCTGTGCTCCAGAACATGCTCAGTCATGCATGGGAGGCTTGGGTAGAGATCACTGGGTAATAAAGGATAACTTTGTTGAAACACATAATCTGGACTGCAAATCCAGTAGTCACAAGGTGACAGAAGGCAGTGCATTAACATTGAAGAGCTATGTGTGTTTTGAATTAGGCAGGAACAACTTCTGTGGATCTAAACTTGAAATGCTCTCCTTGACAAACCAGGTGCTCTGTTTGAGAGATATGGCAGCTGAGTTGCTCAAGGGTGACCAAAAACATGATATGGCACTTCCCAAGAGACAGTTCATTACTTCACTTACAAGCTTGCAAATGTGCATCATGAATATTTGTGACCTGAAGCAGAACAAATTCACCTCCTTTTAATATAGCTGTGGGAGGAAGAATGGTCTGTCAGAAGGTGTCACCCCTAATACTCTCTGTAAGTCCTGATCTGTTCTAGGCACTGTGTTGCAATCTGTAGCTCAGTTCAGAGTCTGAGCAAAGAGTAGGATGTGTAATGACTTCAGTTACAGGGTTTTGGAGAAAATTCTGGTTTATATGTCCAATTCTAAAGATGTGATACAGAAAACCTGACTTTTGTTGACCAGGTATAGAGCTTATATCATTTTAAGTCTATCTTCTGTATTGACTTTGAGAGGTGGACTAAAACATAGGAACATAACAAAGGCAATACAAGTAGGCAATTCTGTATGTTTGCATTCAGAACTTGTCTGGTTTGGCTAAGTTAAAAAAGTTTAATTTCTGCATTTTAGCAAGTAGTATTTTAGTCAACTAATGGCAGATGTGTCAGCTGATTGGTATCAAGCGGGACAGCAAATCCTAATAGTTTCATAAACTTCTAAAGCTTTAGATTTTTATTCAGATGTGCTCCTTCTGGCTAACTGGTAGCTTAGTAATGATAATTATATTCTTAGTGGTGCTGCCTTTCCATGATAAAACATATAAGTTTGCAATAATACATTCATTATTTGCAGTTCAGAAGAAAGATTGCTTGCTACCTGTCAGAAGATTTAAAGTTATGTTACTTGTTTGAACATGTTGTGGCTACAGCAATATTTTCCCCATAACTAAAGCATGCAAGATGTACTGGAAGACATTTGTAGATAATTAGATGTGTATTTCAGATATCATGCTTCATTCTCCTCTTTTGTGTCCAGATCTTCCCTGAAATCTTTTGTACACCATTCTTACCTCTACATTTAAATTGATTGGTGAAGGCAAACTGCAGAGCTGCCTCTTGTGATTAGTGCCCTTGCATTCCCTGACTGGCAGAAACACCAGCAGTTGCATATCATAATTTCTGGTACAGTTTGGAGCGCTGGTAATCCTTTTGTTCACTCAGCAACCATCTAACTTGGTTTTGACATATGGCATCTGTTCATAACTTTTGGTTGGACCTATTACACTGGGTTTTCACTGCAGGAATTGCCCCTGGAAGAAGAAATCTTTCTTCTTCTTTGAGTTGTGTGGATTGCAAACAGAATAGATACATGTTAAACCTAGGTGGCTGAAGTCACCTTCAGTCCTTTCCAGTACAGAGAAACTGACAGTACTGTTATTCATTGTAATTTCTTGTACTTTGCTGGAATTCACAATGCGGGAAAACCTTAGGTTTCTGAAAGAGACATGGTGAAAACTCAAGTTTGTCAAAGCTTGGAACACATTTGTTGGTTCGTGATCTTCTGCTCAGAAATTGAAAACTCCTGCCTTTCTTCTATGCATATCATCATATCATGGCGAGGCTTCGCGAATGAAGATTTGGGAAGGCTCTATCCACATTTGTTACAGGCACGCTGGTGGCTAATGAGGCCAATACGAGATAAACAAGTCTGATTGCAAAAGGCACAGCAGAAAGACTCCTTAGGTGGTATATTCTGCAAGACACGGTTCTTTCTGCGTTGTCTTTTCTCCTCGAGAGTGATCCTGCGTGCGTTCTCAAAAGAAACAGCAGCGTTATAGATGGTGTGCCTCCAGACCTCCCGATTGGAGGCCAGAGTAGACCAGTTATGTTGATCAATATGGCCAAGGCTGAGATGTTGTTTCAGGGAGTCCTTGTATCTTTTTTTGGGGGCTCCTCTCATGTGGCAGCCAATAGCAAGTTCACTGTAAAGCAAGATCTTAGGGAGGCAGTGGTCCTTCATCCTTGAGATGTGTCCTGCCCAGCGCAGCTGTGTTCTCAGCAACTCTTCTATGCATGAAGCATTACAAAAGGCACAGCTACACTCCGCATGCTTTGGTTGCCAGAGAATGTATTACCTTTTTAGCATCCACGATTGTTGCTCAGGTCTACATTATACCTTGCTCATATGTTTAGCAAAATATAACATAGTTGAACCTCAAGTCAGGACTCATGGATGTATTGGCTTTCTGAGTATGTTTTTTGTGTCTTGTTATTTGAAACGTACCTCATACAGAATAGCATATGCATCTGCCTGCTTCTGAGACAAATGGAGGATTTAAATTTCCTTACGGTGTTTCATTTAACTTGAAGCAGATGGACTCATCTGTGCTGCAGAAGACTTCATTGTGTATCAGCTTTTAATTTTTTCCCTCCCTTGCACATTCTTAGCAAGGATGATAAAGCTGACTGAGCTACTCAATAATTTCCTGCACTACTGGGTCTTAAGATCTGTGCTGTCTTCCCAAAACTTGTGTCTGTATTGGAATCTCTGCTGCATCTTATGGCACCTTCCATTTATAACTCCCGGTAAAAACTGATCTCTACATCAATCTGAAAATGCCTTTACACCAGTAGTTCTTCATTATTGATTAAAAAGATGTTTTTAGGTGGTTTCTCTGTTGCCATGTTTATTATTTTTTTATTGGTCCAGAGTGTAAGACGCAGTGGTCTGCCAGTACTTCTGTAAAATCCAGTTCTTTGCTTCAAGCAATAATTAATCATGTTTCCAAATATATTCTTGGCTGTGGTTTGTCATCATTCAGCGGTCTTGCTTTGAGGTCAGTTGTTGTCATGCCCCAGTTAGCAAGGAGATTACTTCTGATGGCTGTAAATAATTCTTGGTTTACAGCATTTCTGCATTTCAAAGGACTTAATCTAGATAAGAAGTCTCAGCTTTCTACACTGGTAATTTTTCCTCCTTTGTGTACAGGTGGTGATAATGTTGCTCATAATGACTGAAGAGACTTCAGTCTCTTTGTGGAAAATGTTAAGGATCCCGTTGTTCACCTTTGTTACAGCAGTTCATGCCCTTATAGATTTATATAGTAAAATACAGTTAACTAGAGCTTGACATTTATCTGCTCTGATGTTTGTTTTACCTCTGATGGCTGGCAGATGCCACTTGGGTACTGTGATCCTCCTAGAGTCCTGACTTTTCATGATTTTTAGAACTTCTTGCCACATTAGAGTTCTTTGCTGTTTTGTTCTTCTGACATGACCACATCCGATACAAATGTTGATTTTGAAAGTTCCATGGTGTTTCTGATTATATTGAATCAAAAGTTTTTAATTTTCATTCAAGTTTTTGCCCAAATTCAGAATTACAGTATAGAATCATAGAATCATAGAATCAGCTGGGTTGGAAGGGACCTCAGAGATCATCAAGTCCAACCCTTGATCCACTACCGCTGCTAGACCATGGTTACTAGACCATGGCACTAAGTGCCACATCCAGTCTCTTTTTAAAAATCTCCAGGGACGGAGAATCCACTACTTCCCTGGGCAGCCCATTCCAATGTCTGACCACCCTCTCTGTAAAGAAATTCTTTCTAATGACTGCAAGTACAAAATATTCCTCAATATTCAATTAATTAGTCCTGAAATAACTACTATAATTGAAGCTTGTGAATTCGCATGTATTACGAAAGTGTTCTGCAATCATCTGGAAGAGTGACCACTTGCTACTTCAGGGTTTCATTTTGTAAATGCCACTCGTGCTTTAGACATACACTCAGATGTGTTAAACTGCAAGATGTTTCACAGCAACCTGTAATTAGAAGAAAAGGGGTATAGTAAATATACAAAGGTGGTGTTTTAATTTAAATTAAATTTAGATGCTGTCTTTAGAAAATGTATTTTCATGGGAAAAATCTGACTAAACCTGAATTCCTTGAAGTTTCCCTTATAACATGTAGCTGTTGCCACCCTGCCTCACAGATTGTATGTGTCCATACCGCTATCCTCAACTGTAGTTTTAATTTTTAGCTTCAACCTTTCCTTCCTGTTCCTTCCCTGAAAGCCTCTGTAAGACACTGGCTGAGAGCTCTTCCACTTTTCCCCTGCTTTTTCCCCTGCTTTGTCTTTTCTTCTTTACTTCAAAGTCACATTGTTTTGACATGAGAAAACTAAACATATGGGAAGTGCACGATATGTCTTCTTGGACAGGATGCAAACTGGTGAATTCATATATGATTATTTAAACTTACTGTCTTCATAAACAAAGGAGTTAACCGTTGATCCTTAAGTTTATTTTGAGCTTGAATATGTTAAAATTAAAATAACTTAAAATATAATTACAATAAGTTAAAAATTTTAGGTGGCGAGAAAAATCAGTTCCACAAATTCATTGTTGTAGTGGTTAAATTCACTTTTTTATTTTAGGAAGTAGATGTCCCTCATTTTTAGGCTGAATTTGCCTAGCTTCAGCTTCCAGCCAGGGAAGATCTGTCATAACCATCATACCACATAGATAGCCCTCTATCAAGAGTATCTTTTTTTCATATAGGTGTCAAAATACTCCATTCAAATTACTTCTCAGCCTTCACTAAGCAGGCTAAGTAGATTAATGGCTTTAGAAATAGAGGCTTAAGAAGCTAAATACATACACTTGAGTGTATCAGACCATCCAATTCAACTCCTATAACTAAATATCCCTATCATTATTTATCAGTATTATTTATGTATTTACTGTTGACAAAGGAAATTAATGGTAAGTTTGCCTAACAACTAAATTTGTGTAAACCACATTGAATGAAACTGGTTGTGCTTCTAGCCTTCAGTTCACAAACAAGCAGATGATTTTAAGGTATGGATTTCATTTTTGCATTGTTGGTGATTCTGAATAAGCTGATGATCACCTATGGTGGTTGTAACTGTGATACACCTGCATGCACTGGTTACACTTAATCCAGACAGCAAATTTTTGGTGGCAGTCATAGATTCTCTTCTACATGAAAAGTTAGTCGAAATTTGTGTTTAAAAAAAATTAAAAATAGTGACTTGTTCCTAGGCTGACCACAGAACAAGAAACTTCTGTTTTTGAGAAGTGTTTACATAGTGAACAAGTTTAGAACTGAATGGTAATACAGAAAATGTCTGCATTTAACTCAGTAGTCATCAATGAGGAAATCTAGCACAAGACAAGCTCAGCAGCGAGAACATGATTCTAGGTTGGAGTCTTTTTTTGGTTTTGGCAGTCTTCTGTTTGTTTGTTGGTGTTGTTTAGCACATAATGTAAATTACATTTTAGTTCTATCTCTTTAAAGGTTTTGTGGATACTGGGTTTTTCTGGGTTCAGAAAATAACTAGGCATTTTGTAGAAGAAACTTTTCTGAAGTGCTTTTAAACACAAAGATCCTTCTGGTTCGGGATATCCATCAGCTGCCTTACATGGGAGGCTGGGAGCATGTGCTGAAAGAAGGGTCATTGCACTCATGCCCTGCTCTTAAACTTCTGCCCAGCCACTGTCAGACAGATGTTAAAACAGAGATCTGTCCCCAAATATCAGTTGTTGTGTTACAGTAGGTGACAGCCCTGTCATAAACATCAGAGTGGCAGAAGAATTGCACACAAGAATGAGCTCTCAGAATTCAGCTTCTCTCTGTGAAGTCAATCCCCTGTGGATCATATTTATGGAAGAATATAATTGAGTGCAATTTTGTCAAACTTAAGTTGTGTATATTTGGGTATTCTGGTTTTCTAGAGAAGGGAAATTAAAAATGGACATCTGATGGTGCCATACCAAGTTGACCTTATTGGCTTAACTCATTCTACCACAGAGGCTGGTATTACAGAGTGGGAATATGTTACCTGTGTGTGTTGTCCTAGTCCCTCAAACCCCTCCATTCTAATGAGATAAATTCTTATGTATCAATAAGAAACTGAAATCTGGAATTTAGGGAGGTTTTTGACAGGAAAGTAATACGCTTCTTGTTTTAAGCAAGTGGTCTCTGAAGGGCAAAGTAGAACCAAAGAAATTTCAGCAGCTGTGGCTACTCTCTCAGATCCTTGATAGTCTAGTTTCAGCACCACACTAGTGGCTATGAGCTTATTTCTAAGGCTGATACTGAAGTGGCACAGCTCATCATATTCAGACTCAAGATGTACTAGTCTTCTGACGAATATGCTATGTGACTATATAAAGGCATGTGGGTGCTGATAGTCCTTTCTCCATGAAAAAGACACTTGGGTTTTAGGAGTGGATGAAAATCTTGTTTAACCTCTTCTTCCTTTAGGTATATAATCCCATGAGCAGCATGCTGATAATGTTTCTTCAACAGGAGGAGATGGCAGAGCTCAAGGCACAGCTTTACCTGCTAGAGAAGGAGAAGAAGGCATTGGAATTGAAACTGAGCACTCGAGAGGCCCAGGAGCAGGCCTACCTCGTCCACATTGAGCACTTGAAATCTGAAGTGGAAGAACAAAAAGAGCAGAGAATGAGGTCTCTCAGCTCAACCAGCAGTGGAAGCAAAGACAAACTGGGCAAGGTCAGGAGTCAAGCTAAGTTTCCAAAGCCGTAAACATGATTAATTATACCACTCCCCTCCCTGTATCAGTCTTTAGCATGTTAATAATTCTTCTCTTTTGTCTATATGTAGATCTTTTCTCTCTTCTCCAGTTGTTAGGCGATTCCTTCCATACTGTGACTTAGGAGGACTTTGCAGAATTATTGTTAAGCCTGCGCAAAAAGAAGGTTGTTTTGAGGACGATTACCACAAGCCCAGTCTTGCCAAACATACAAGTTGCTGTGGTCGAACGTGTGTCTTGACTGTTGCCACTCGCTGGAAACAGTGGAAGGGATGGAGTATAAGCAAAATGCCATCCTCCCCCAAACACAAAATTTGAAAAAATAAGCTCTCATTCCTTTGAAGCAGTTAGAGCATTGTAATGACAGTCTCTTTTTCCAAGTCAATTTGTAATAATTTGAGAATTAAGGCTTTTTCTCCTCTTATTATAATGCAAAATAAACAGATTTCTGCATTAACTCTATTAATTTCCATTAAGAAATAGATACCTGGAAAAGCTTAGGTCCTCTTATTTTAGTGCTGTGTCCCCAGATAAGCCTCAGTAATGTGTTCAAAAACAAAATCCAGAGCTAGTGTATAACTGTCTTTCTTACTTGTTTCTGGCAATGCATCATCTGAATTTTTTGATCCCAGCAGTTCTTTGTTTCAAGTGTAGTGTCAAAAGAAATATAGGGAAATCACCAGCAGTTTTGCACACTAGCAGAATTCTGCAAGTTGATGAGCTGTGGTGGTTTAGGAAACATTTAGGGGGATTTGTGAAGTGTTAATCCATTTAGTCTGTTTCTTGGTATGTTGATACACTGCCATGTTGCTGTAATATTGTGATGTTTATTTCACCTTCATTTTACAAGTAGCTGTTACCTAAGTGGTTTTCAGAATTTTCCAGTTAAGATGGTAAGTACTTTCAAACCAGATGGTGTTTCCTGGTTTCTCAGGAATGCAGTGATGGCACCGCAGCACCATTAACTCTTGCTGAGCTGAGACCATACACCGAGAGTGAACTGACTGCTGAGCTGACAAACGCACTCAGGAGGTAAGCAGCTTCCCTCACCAGGGATACCACTTGTCCTGTAGGCCTGGGGCAAGGCTTCGTTCTGAGCCTTTGCTCTTACCCTCAAGTGATTTTAAGAGTGATCACAGATTTGTCCCATGAGAAGGAAAATGATCGAAGGTCTTCTAATGTTCCCCTCTCTGCTGTTTTCTTTAGTCTGGTGAAAGTCTTCACATGGTGCTCAGCTCCATTCTCCTTGGGGTTCTCTAAAATTCAGTTGAATTTTAGAAATTAAACCCTCAAAATGGCTGTAGTCATTGTTTTCAGCAAAGAGTGTGAGACGCAAACATGATTTTTCTTGTGTGCGTACAGAAAACCTTTAGTGAAGATTTGTGGTGTGATCTTTGGTTAAGAAGGTTGGTCACAGGTTAGAACTTGGGCAGGAGTTACAGGAGTGGGAATTGCAGGCATTTTGATGACTCAGATGCTCCATTTTCTTTCTGAGTATGTAAGTGGAGCCATAGTTCAATTTCAAATGACATTGTGTGAAGCATTAGCTTTCCAACGGGAGAGAAAATTGATGTCTTGACAAACTGCTTTTGTCAACAGCCAGGTTTTAAGCCTAAGCTTTCAGTACAGTTATACATTAGCTAGATATTTGTTTGTGCAGCGGTTTTTGCTGCACCAGCTATGCGGTAAACTTCATGACAAAGACATTCACTGTTTTGATAGTTGTTTCAGTACTTGTTCCACCTTTTCCAAGAAATGGCTGTCTTAATATCTAATCTGGTTCTTATATTTAGAACCCCTCCAAAATACTACTAAGAATTTAAGCTGGGAAGAGTGTATTTTGCTTTCCTGGTGTTTGCACCCTCTTTAATGGTGGAATGTCCTTTCAGGCAGCTGTGGTGTTTTATTCCTGAGGTGCTTTTTTCATAGGTGCAATGTATAGAGTGCCTATGGTCACTTAAGCCTGGAAGGCATTATGTAAAAATGTAAGATCATTACCACTGCAGAATCAATACATTTCATACCGTTTGCTTAGCAGTCTGGCAGTTGCTGAGTACTTAGTTTTCATGATGCAGGAAACAAAATTCCACAGTTAAAATAATCCAAACTGTCATTTGTGTGTGGGTGGATAAAACCCATAAAAAAGTAATTTACATAAACATTGCATAGAAGCCATTGGCCTCCCCCCTGCCCCCAACATTGCAGCCCTGGTGTGAGCTGCTTCACCAGCATTTTTTGTCTTTACTCAAGATGGGGCTTTTTCCTGCTCTTGGTACTTGCTCCTGGATTTCAAGATGATGTCAATGACCTTAGTTAGCAGAGGCTTCAGTATAGTCATGAAATGTGGTTTGCTGACAACACAGAGAAAACAACTTTGCTTTATCTACTGGCCCTTAACTTGATTAGCATGGATTTCCAGCCAGAGGCCTCGTGAGTACACTTTGTCAGGCAGAAATGGGGAAGAAAAATAATCAGATTAAACTGTACATAAATTGTGAAGACTCTCAGTGTAATGGAAATATGACTGTACTAAATGTGATTGCTGCTACCAATGGGGCTCAAACACAGTTCCTGCAAGCTGTGTGGACAGGGTGTTTTTCTCCTTAATCAGTGTGTCAGCCCAGATCAGGCTGAATGCTTAGTCCTCCTTATCCTGAAGCTTTCTCTCAAAATCTGTGTAGCACCTGGAGAAAGCTTACTGCACCCTGTTTAGCCACAGCTGTCATAAAATATACCAGCAGTTCTTAACTGCTCTTCTGAGTAAATGGACCCTCAGATATCACAAGGAAATTTATACCATCATGGATCCACTAAAGAGTTCCAAAAAATAATCAAAGTTCATTTTCCTCTACAAGTGCTACAACAGTGCAGAATGGTCTGAGGTGGTTGTGATATCTTTAGGAATGAAGCAAACTTAACTCCGTGCATTTAGCATGTGCCAATCCCTCAATACTCTTCCTGCTTGTATGGGAAAACAAGTCCTGACATTATGTGTGAACCAGGAGAGATCCTCCTGGCTGCCCTGATTACCTTCCTCACCTGCCAAAGAAGTAGGATCAGAATACAAAATAAAAATATCTTGCCCAGTATCTGTGTTTGTCAGGGGACAGGAGGGAAATGTGAAAACAAGTGCCTATCGCCCTCTGTGGTCTAGAGGCAGTGTTGAAATGCCAATGTTCAGGAGTGTTTCAGTACTGGTTACAATGTGTGCACACACCCAGCGATTGGACCTACCTGTTGTCTCTCCAGGCAGTAGACACTGGTGTAGGGAACAACAGCTGCAAGGATAGGGGCGAAAATCCATTTGCTTTTGAGTCTTTCTGTTTGTCAGAACATGTGATATCAATCAGCAATCCTGTCCCCTTCTCATCCTTTACAGTTTTTACAGAGACTAAAGCCCTGGCAACTCTCCCCTCTACTGCTTTCCCATTCTGTTCTCTGTTGCTGCTAAATTGTCAGGTTCTTCTCAGTTAATTGAAGCAGAGTGAAACCCAAATAAAACAGCAGGACATAGTTAAGGTTTGAGTTTTGGTGTAGTTTGAAAACATTTATTTGTTCATAATCTGCAAATGGCCATGCAGCAGAACAGTCTCATCCACAGAGATAGGCTGGCTTCTCTCTGCAGAGAATCTGCAGAGAGAATCTTCTGGAATCCAGAAGTGTGTTGTGAAGCTTATCAAGTTTTCACTGGTAGTGCCCATCACCAGAAATTCAAGGCAGGAGCAGTTCTTCATCTACTGTTCCATTATGTATTTGTTCTAGTACAACTGAAGATTTCCTACAGTAGTGTTCAGCATTAAAACCTCTCTTACCAGTTTTTCACAGAAATCACTTTTCTTTGTCATGATAGCTATGCTAACTAGTAGAAATGCAAATTATCTGCAAGTTCTGAGCTGTAAAAGTTACATCTGGATTAATAAATTTCTGATATTGCAGTCTAAGCTCACTAATGTTCCAGCCAAACATAAATGCTTTCTGTCAGAATCTTTAACAGTATTATTTTCCCCTCTCTCTTTTCTTAATGGAATGATGAAGTGGTTCAATAGACATGAAGCCTCTTTTTTCTTGAGTTTGGCACATCCATAAACAAGCTTGTTGGCAGGAAATACTTTATTCTTGTGAGGGCAAAAAATGTGTTCCCAGCAGCCTCATGGCCTGGCACTGACAGCTTGATGATTGTGCCAGAAGCCAGTTTTATGAGAGGATCTGGTTGAATACCCCAAAATCAGACACATGACACAGTCTCTTAGGGAGACCTTAAAACAGTATTTTCCTTGCTGGTTTGTTCTGCTTTGCTATGGAAGGGCAGGGAGAGCTGTGTATGACTTGTGTGAGTTTGGTAACTTAGTAGGTACATACCAGTTTTGCACTACTGCAGGTGAATGCATTAGAGGTGGCAGAAAGGATTAGAGAGGCAGGAAGAATGCCATCTTGCTTTAGCAGGGCAGTGATAATGGTGATATAACTACTCTTTTCTTCCACTAATTTCTTTCATTCTGTGAAAAATGACCAAACAGGCAAGACTGAAACTTCTCTCTCTCCCTAGGCCTTGCTAGAAATGCTTTGTCTGTTGAAGTCCTCCTGCAGTCTCTCCTTGTATTTCCAATTGCTGATAGCTCTTCTGTCTCTGTAGGGTTGTATTTTGTTTATATATTTAGATGGTCATTTATAAGCATTAAAATGATTGGCCAGGAAGGATCTGGCAGTGCTAGGTAAGGGCCATGGCAGGCAAAACACTATAACTAGACTGACTGTTCAGACCTGGGCTGCATCATCATTTGGCACAAAATTACGATCTTTGATGGCTGTGCAGGGTTACATGAACTGTGTCAGTCTAGACGTGTTTCAGTATCTCCCTCACAAAAGAGTGACTTTCCATCTGGCAAGACAACAAAGAAGCTATGTATTTACCATGTCTGATGACTTTTAAACTGAGAGATAGCATACTGAGTGATGCTACTAATAGGGAAGTTGCCATGGAGAGGGGGAAGGAGTTGTAATTGGTAGGACTGGCAAACAGTTCTTTTGCTCTTAATAAAAAGTACATTTTGCACAGAGCTGTGATCCTGCCTCTCTGGAAGTGGAAGCTGCAGGTATTTCTAGTAGGACACAAAGAATTCATGCTATTGCAATAACTTCTATGTGTCTGTTGAGACACAGTAATGCTTATTGCAGTCTTAGGTCCTTATGCTTGTCTGAAGATCACAATTTTGTTTTATGCCAAGCTTCTTTTCAGAGAGGAACCCTTTCAACAGAAAGCTGTGCCAAGGCATGGCAGTGGCTATTTCCTGACACACTGTCAGTGAGAGATAGATCAAGCCACCTTCCTTTATTTTAAACTTCCACAAACTTCATGTGATGGCATCTCAGCTTGGTGTGTTTTCAAGGACCAACCTTCGTTTCATGATAGCAGGATCCAGAAGTCTGTGGAAGCATAGTTGAAATTCAGGCCTATCTTGACCATCAGTCAGGCTATGTCTCAGAAATGGAAGTAGAAATACCTAAAACACATCATATTGTAATGATCCAGATTTAAAATTACTCTTAAGACTTTTACTGATTCGTAAAATCCTCCTTTTCTTTAACCAAAGTACAGGACAAACATGGTGGATAAAAGAGGGGAGAGGGAGGCAGGGGTTGTTGTTGTGCAGCTACTGATGCATCCTCAGGGGTTTTTTTGTCAGTTACATTTGCTTATTTCTGTCCTTTAATTATCACATCCATTAAATGAAGAGATAAGCAACTCTGAGACATATGAAAGCCAGACACTGTCATGGATTGCAGCCATTGCAAGTTTCAGAGATATCCTTTTTGTGCCTGTGTTGTATTCTGCTGTGGTTTCCCTTGGCTGCCTGAGGAGTTCAGGAGTTATGACCTGTGTCTGGAAATCCCTCTGGAGAGTGCCACTGAGAAAAACCTTCTCACAAGAAGAGAAGTGACTCATGGTGATATAAGGTGCTTCCTCAGAAGCACCTCAAGTAGCTGTTTTTTTACATGCATCACAGACAGCCATAATTTTTCTTTTTCTCTAC